AAGCTCTGAAAGTGTGGAGGCATTGGCTTGAGGGGGCTAAACACCCTTTTCTCATTTTGACTGACCATCGCAATCTGGAGTACATCCGGGCGGCGAGGAGGTTGAACCCTCGCCAGGCAAGGTGGGCCATGTTCTTCACTCGTTTTGTGTTTACTCTCACTTACAGACCAGGTTCCCAGAACGCTAAGTCAGACGCCCTGTCCCGACTGTATGACAAAGAGGAGAGGTCCATTGAGCCCACTCCCATACTTCCGGCATCGTGTCTGGTGGCACCGGTGGTGTGGGAGGTTGACGCGGACATCGAGGGGCGTTACATACCGAGCCCACTCCCCCCCAGTGTCCAGAGGGTCGGATGTACGTGCCACTCGAGGTTCGCGATCGATTGATCTATTGAGACTCACACGTCACCCTCCTCTGGTCATCCTGGCATCGGTCGGACAGTGCACTGTCTTAGTGGGAAGTACTGGTGGCCCACTTTAGCCAAGGACATGAGGGTTTATGTTTCATCCTGCTCAGTGTAAGGCACCTAGACACCTGCCCAGAGGGAAGTTACAACCCCTACCCGTTCCACAACGGCAGTGGTCCCACCTATCGGTGGATTTTGTTACGGACCTTCCCCCCTCACAAGGGAACAACACGATCCTGGTCGTTGTGGATTGGTTTTCCAAGTCCTGCAGTCTCATTCCTATGCCAGGTCTCCCTACAGCCCTAAAAACTGCTGAGGCCCTGTTTACACACGTCTTCCGGCACTACGGGGTACCTGAGGATATTGTGTCGGATCGGGGTCCCTAGTTCACCTCAAGGTGGAGGGCGTCCATGGAACGTCTGGGGGTCTCGATCAGCCTTACCTTTCACCCCGAGAGTAATGGGCAGGTGGAGAGAGTTAACCAGGATGTGGGTAGGTTTCTGCGGTCCTATTGCCAGGACCGGCAGGGGGAGTGGCCGGGTTTTATCCCCAGGGCAGAGATTGCCCAAAACTCACTCCGCCACTCCTCTACTAACCTTACTCCTTTCCAGTGTGTGTTAGGTTATCAGCCGGTCCTGGCACCTTGGCATCAGAGCCAGATCGAGGCTCCTGCGGTGGATGAGTGGTTTCGGCGCTCGGAAGAGACCTGGAACGCTGCTCATGTACACCTGCAGCGGGCCATCAGGCGACAAAAGGCGAGCGCCGATCGCCACCGCAGTGAGGCCCCGGTGTATGCACCGGGGGACTGGGTCTGGCTCTCGACCCGAAACCTGCCCCTTCGCCTGCCCTGCCGGAAGCTGGGTCGGCGGATTGTGGGGCCATTTAAAGTCCTGAGGAGATTGAACAAGATTTGTTATAGATTACAGCTTCCTCTTAATTACCGTATTAACCCCTCGTTCCATGTGTCTCTCCTCAGGCCGGGTGGGGCCCGTCGGGTGGGGGGCCTGCAGGGGTACGGTCCGGAGGAACGGTGCTGGGTCCCTAGGAGGGACATCCTTGATCCCTCCATGTTGAGGGATTTCCACCATAGTCATCCGACTCGCCCTGCTTCGCGTCCTCCTGGCCGTCCCCGAGGCCGGGGTCGGCGCACGGCTGGAGCCGCGCGTCAAGTGGGGGGTACTGTCACTCTCCTCCTTGCTCGGGCAGGCTTCGACGTTCGTACTAGCTACTACCGATCCATGTGTCTATGTTCGACTTGTTTCGTCTTCATTGGTCACACCTGTTTCCCATCATGTAGTTATGTCTTCCCTATTTAACCCTCTGTCTCACACTGTGTGTTGTGTGTGTTTGTTCATGTTTTGGTTGTCGTTAGTGTGCGGGTTTGTTTCCTCCCTGCGTGGAGGATTTGTTCATTCATTTACCTACGAGTAAAGTACACCTTTTTGATTAGCTCTGTGTCCTGCGCCTGACTTCGCCTACCGCATTACACTGACGCCTTGACAGCTCGTCTACCCTGGAATATAATTACGCTCCTTTCCTAGAACACCAGCAAAACACTGGGGTACAAATCAATAGAGTGAAGTCTCACCAGGCAGAGAGAGGTTGGAGGTTTTATTTAGCTTGTTGTACCATGGGATCCCTCGTATGCAAGTCCGTGCCCCACTTCTTCTGGTTCAATGGGTTGAAAGGTGACCTTAAGCTCTTGGCCTTGAACTGAGAGGGTATGGTCCGATAGGCCCACTTCATTTGTGAAAGGACCAATCCTCTGCTTTCCTTCCAAGATACAGAAGACTGAATTACAGGTGTTTATACATAACTACGTAGTTACATGTAAGTACATATAGTTAGCTGTGTGTAGTTACATATACATCACAGCATGGTCATGGGAAGCATCACTGAATAAAAAGAGATTTCAGAACATGTTTTGTTATTACTTTATTAATTATTATTATCATTATTATTCAAGTTTAGATGTAGACATCTTTGCCATCTTTGTAGAATTTTTTTTGCATGTAAAACCCTACAACACAAAAACGTAAAGGTGGTAGCAGAAAAAACTAAATAAAGAAACAAACAATCTAAATCCGACTTTTATGCAATAAAGTGTAAAAACAAGAAACAACATTCTAAAAATTATTGTTAAAACATTTACAAAAACCTTTTTTGCCATGTCCGTGTCCACACTGGTTTATTGGCTTCTTCCACACACAGATACTCCTGTCTGTATCTATCTATGATGTTTCTTCTCCCACACACAGATACTCCTGTCTGTCCATGGTTTCTTCGTCTTGGGCTTCTAGGTGATAGGCATGATCACTCCTGCTAATTATTTTTGCAGTACCTGTGTATAGCATGCTAATAACACATTTAACATTATCATCTTTCTTCCTTTTCAATAAAACAGAATAACTGAAGTGCAAGCGTTAACATTTTTCAAATTAAAACTTAAAACAAAAATCGTTCCTTATGTTATTTCAAATCATATGAATGCTTCTGTGAAATGCAATGATTTTATTATTATTATTACAGTTTTTTTGTTTCCGAGAGGCGTTTGTAGCAACATTGTAAGGCTATGTTGATTTCATCGCTACTTCACACTAATCCTCGATTGCCGAATTCCAGGCAGGCTCTCATTTCGTTCTCCGCTGATCATGTATAAATAACTATGTACATCAGAGGATGGACAGTTTAGATTGAACTCATGTTCGATTCCTTTCAGCAGCAATCGGAATCATAGGAAGAAGTGCTCACACAAACGAAAGAGAGAGAGGCAGAGAAAGAGAGAGAGTGAGAGAGAGAGCGAGAGAGTGAGAGAGAGAGAGAGAGAGAGAGAGAGAGAGAGAGAGAGGGGCAAAAAAACACATGAATGAGAGTCTTTTAGAGGCGAAACACGTCGTCTACTAGCAAAATACTAACAAGCTAAATAGAGGGATAATGTTGCTGTGTGGTAACTGTGTGGAAGTAACATTTGTTTTGTCGCTTAAATGGCATTCATCTATCTACATAATGTCAAATGCTTGGACTACAAGGCCATCATCCAGGTTGAGGTGTTACACTACAGCTAATTTGTTGAAAAAAGCACTCAACATTGTTGATATTCAATGGCTTCTTTCTGTCAAAAGGCACCTGTTTCACCTGTCCATGGAACAAGTAGAATTTCATGCTACGTTCAAATCAAAGCCAAATGTTAGAGTATTATATAAATTTAAATTCAATAGACATACAAACAATGGGGCCTTGTGTACGGTATAGTAAGTTGAAATACCTGGATAGTAAAACCTATGATGCTCAAAGCTATAAAGCTCACAGAACATGACTTATGACCAAGCTACAGTATAGCAGCTTCTCTTAAAAAAAAAAAAAAAAAAAACATACATCCAGGATGAACAAAGTCCAATACAGAGCATTTGTATAGACAATAAAGCATTGCAAAGTGTAGGAGCACACAAAGAAAGACATGGAATGGATAGTGCCTCCGTGCCAATGAAACAAACAGAACAAATCATTTGACTGCATTTCAACTCCCATTAAACCTTCTGACAAAAAGGCCTCTGTTTTGTTACGTGATCGTCCTGTCCTCGTGAGAGAAAAATACTCTGAATTGCAGGCATTTTGCTTCATTACCTTGTTTGCTACATTTGCAAATGTAAACAGTTTAGCAGAGCCAGGCTCGTTGCCCTTTACTCAATGCAAAGTCGATGTTGCATATCAACATACCATGTAGAAAATACTTTGTTCAATATATCAGGCACTGATATTATGAATTTTTCATATTAACAACTTAGAAAAAAATATTAATTTTTGCATTTTTCTTCCTTCTCAAATGTCTTTAGTGATATAAGGTTTGCATCCTAGCAACTAAGGCAGCAGCTTAAAATGTCTAGAGGAAGTTCTGTGACAATAGAACTCCCCCCCCCCCCCCCCCAAAAAAAAAGACCAAACTGTATCCATAACTAAAATACATTAAAACATAAGACACTTAGTTGGATGTTAAGTGGAGACCAATGCGACTGAAACCACTGTAGGATATGTTTTTTTGACTCAGCCACGGGCGTTCCCTGAGGACGTTTATTTGAGGACGATCCAATCACTAGTCGTCGCTCTGCCCATCCACCGTGAAGGAGATTATGACAGACGACTGACGTTTCCCATCTCCCCATTTTACATATCAATTCACACTTCCTCATTCCATTTGGAACACTGAACCAACCAGGAAAAAGAACATCCAACCCACTGCATAATAAACGAATCCCCAAAACATGTGCAGATGTACCTTGTTGTTCGCTGAACTGCCTTGTCATAGTTACACTTCCAAATAAAAAAATAAACAATAGCAAAAAACTAAAAATAAGCAGCTACTTGTAGTACCATTTTCTTCAAAAGCGTTTTCCTTTACAAAAACAGAAGAAAAAAAAAAAGTATTATGTCCAATATAAATGTTTAGATGATATGAGTTCCCTACAGAAGCTATCACGTTGAGCGAGAAGTCTTCTTCTCATTCAATCATTACAGTACGTCGCGTTTGTCAGTTTATTTTCTTATTTTTCATACTGCTATGCCTGTGCTAGAAGTCCAAGTCTGTGGTGCACCAAAATCACACAGAGTCCTTTGGAGCAACGGCCTCTGTCTCGGCCTCAGCCTCGGCCTCAGTCTCAGCTTCGGCGGTTGGCAGGTGAAGCCCTCTCTGTATGTGTGTGGTGAAGTCATACTTGTCTGTGCAGGCGTGCAGGCAGATGCTGCACTGGAAGGGCCCTGCGTCAGCGTGGCAGCTCATGTGCAGGGCGTGCATAACCTCATCCAGGAAGAGGATGCCACAGTGGACGCACTTACTGGTCAGCTCATCCTGAGTGCCCTGGTCCAACATCTCCTTACTGGTCAGCTCATCCTGAGTGCCCTGGTCCACCCTCTCCTTACTGGTCAGCTCATCCTGAGTGCCCTGGTCCACCCTCTCCTTACTGGTCAGCTCATCCTGAGTGCCCTGGTCCAACATCTCCTTACTGGTCAGCTCATCCTGAGTGCCCTGGTCCACCCTCTCCTTACTGGTCAGCTCATCCTGAGTGCCCTGGTCCAACATCTCCTTACTGGTCAGCTCATCCTGAGTGCCCTGGTCCACCCTCTCCTTACTGGTCAGCTCATCCTGAGTGCCCTGGTCCACCCTCTCCGGCTTGGCTGCAATGTCTAGCGGAGGAGGAGGCTGGGGGGATGCCCCCTCTTCTACTTTGTCCTCTCTTCTCCCCTGCTGCTCTCTATGCTTCTCTTCCTCCTTCTCCGCCGGGACCGTGGGCAAGGCCCGTTTGTCGGCGCTGCTACTTCTCTCCTTGACGGTAACGGCAGAGGCGGTGGAGCCGTTGGCGGTGGGGGGCAGTTTGGAATGTTTGATGGCCAGGTCAAGAGGGATGTCGCTTTCGGGGCCGGCGGAGGGCGTGAGAGGGTAGTGTGGGGGTAAGTTAAAGGTGTGGTAAGGCACAAAGCTTTGGCAAGGGTTGGGCAGACCAGGCATGTGACCTAGGTACTGTGGGTTGCCCGGAACAGACATCTTGTACTTAGTCCAGAAGCGCATCCAGTCGGACTCGCTCTGCAGGTCGTTGTGGATGAAGGGCAGGCTTAAGAACGGGTACTGGTACTTCTCGATGGGACTGCCCGGTGGCGAGTAGCTGGCCTGTTTGGAGGGACGCATGTACTTCTCGATGGGGCTACCCCTCTCGGAGGACAAGCTGCCCTTCCCCTCCAAGCCCGTGTGATGGACCCCGGTCGAGCCCACCCCGTTCCCCTCCGCCCCTCCCTCCGCAGGGTTCTTGTTGTGTATGTGCAAAGGAGGCAATCGCTTGTGGATCTCCAGGGTCTGGCTAACTAGGAAGGCATGGGTGGAGCGGGGGCTGGGGTGGCTCTTTGCCCCAGAGGAGCCGTAGGCCTCGTACTTGCCCAGGTCGTTCGGGGGCTCCCCTCTGCGAGGGACGGCGCGAGGGACGGGCCCTCCGTCCGAGCCTGGCCCATCCTCTCCTGGCCGGCGCTCCAGGGGACTGCCGTTGAGGCGCTCCTCGCTGTTGACCCTCTGCTGCTTGGAGCCCACGGGTTCGGAGGGCAGAGGGTCGGGGTTGAGGCGCTTCCGCGTGCGCCGGCGGATGATCTGCTCGCCGTTGTTCTGCTTGATGATGTTCAGCGGCCGGGGAGTCTGGTGAGGGACAGAGATAGACATGTTATTTATGTATCAAGCTATACATAAAAATGTTTACCTAAATATATCCTTAATAATCAAATGAATTTCATAGTAGAGAATATTACCACAACACTAAGGGCTTGATTCAATCCATATAGCTGAATATTGGCGCTATAGTGTGATTGAAACTTAAAGGCAATGTTCCCACGTTCACGGAGACTGCATTCACAGTAAACACACACGGTGAACACACACGGTAAACACACACGGTAAACACACACGGTGAACACACACGGTAAACACACACGGTAAACACACACGGTGAACACACACGGTAAACACACACGGTAAACACACACGGTGAACACACACGGTGAACACACACGGTGAACACACACGGTAAACACACACGGTAAACACACACGGTAAACACACACGGTGAACACACACGGTAAACACACACGGTAAACACACACGGTGAACACACACGGTAAACACACACGGTAAACACACACGGTAAACACACACGGTGAACACACACGGTGAACACACACGGTAAACACACACGGTGAACATGTCGGCTCATTCGGAAATTCCCTTTCAATTTCAATTGCGCCGAGGATCTTCAGCGATACAGATTGAATCAAGCCTTAAAATGATCCCAGAATGACTGCAAAAAAAAACACATGGGGACTCTAGTCCTGATAGTTACAGCTCTTCTGTCCTCCACTGCCGGGAGTTCGTCAATGCCGGGGTGTAGCAGAATTACTTTGTTCTGTCTGAATAGTCTCTCTCTCTGTCTTTACAGATGTAGAAACTCAGCAAAGTAGCAGCATTAATTTGTTCTGTCTGAAGACTCTCTGTTTACAGTTACCAAAGTGTTTACAGTTGCCCTCATTTATCACCTTTCCTTTCCATTCCCTGTTCTATTTATTTTTCTCTCCTTCCTGTCATTCTGCCACAGGTAGGGTTTGGCATTTACCGCCAACTTCTGTCAGGTGACACCTCACACGGCAATGCTGACAGACACGTTTTCATACGAACGTTTCCCCACTTTCCATGGAAGTCTCCCAGAAATCACTGGGAGCTAAAACTAATGGGCACACGGAGAGAGCGAGAGAGAACATTTTAAATGGAGGACATTTCCATCACTCTGCTCCCTACACATGACCAAAAGAGAATCTGAATTAAAGGGATCAGATTGGCCGCATTGCAGACTGAATTCTAGGTGTGAAATGTCACTGAGGAATCAATCCCACACCGTACCGCTGCCTCTCTGCTTGTCTTTGTGATGGACAATCCGTGGTCATGTTCCTGGGGAAAGGAAACCAATCATTTCAACCCAAAAATGGGAGGGTAAAAAAATATTTAAAAAATCCATGGCACAGGATAGGAAGAATAATTTATATATATATTATTTTCCTTTTAAGCCTAGTATGTTCCCTTCCTTCACCCTACATACATACAGTATGGTTATTTATTCAGAAACACGGAGCAGAGCATGTGAGCGGAGTTGAGCGGTTGCTCCGGCGAACCACGTCCTTTCCAACCGCTCCGCTAAAAACCACTCTTTGCTCACAGAAAAAAAAAACAGCCGCTCCAAATTTGCTCCATTCATTAAAATCACAATTTAACTAACACACATCTATTTTTGTGACTACCTGGACCTACCATTTGTTTTTGAAGTATTGAAACAAAATGGATTTGAATGAAAAGTATTTTAATAAACATGAAAAGCTGAATGTAAGAAGCGCTCATCATTTCAAATAGGCTACATGTCATATTAAACAGCATATAAACACTCTAAATAGGTCAGGAGCCAGACAGGGAGGCTAAGAAGGCTGTAAATTACTTAGAAGTAAATAGAAATTAAACGATAAATGACTTATTAGTGCCTTTAACTTCATTTTTAGAAACACGAGTTTGGCCAGTCTGTGGCTTCAGGCTCATGCGATGGCGCCTGGAGAGCAGGCCAGCAGCGGAGAATATCCTCTCCATGGTGCCTGGAGAGCAGGCCAGCAGCGGAGAATATCCTCTCCATGGTGCCTGGAGAGCAGGCCAGCAGTGGAGAATATCCTCTCCATGGTGCCTGGAGAGCAGGCCAGCAGTGGAGAATATCCTCTCCATGGTGCCTGGAGAGCAGGCCAGCAGTGGAGAATATCCTCTCCATGGTGCCTGGAGAGCAGGCCAGCAGTGGAGAATATCCTCTCCATGGTGCCTGGAGAGCAGGCCAGCAGTGGAGAATATCCTCTCCATGGTGCCTGGAGAGCAGGCCAGCAGTGGAGAATATCCTCTCCATGGTGCCTGGAGAGCAGGCCAGCAGTGGAGAATATCCTCTCCTCACTTTCAGAGCCACTGGGGATGGTAAACACTTTTTCTTTTAAGGTTTTAAGGCAAAATAACTCAATCAAAACGGAAACGTGGGAATATGCCAGGCCTATTGGGCCAAAATCAATGATGGCCTGTGGTATAGATAATAGAACAAAAATGAACTAAACGTTTAAGAGATCAGATTTTTTGTTTATAAATACTTTGCTACAATGACACACTTAATTATCTACCCACCTCGTTCCTTTCTTTTAGCATGTGCACGTAGTAATAAGTACCCCATCATGCTTTCAGGATACGTGTCTTTTCAGATTCCACAGTGATTCTTTAGTTGTGGACACTACATCACCACACTCCCTCTCTTGCTCATCTTTGTAAGTCACCTTGATTTAGCACCTGTGTGTTTTATCAGTTTCTTTATGAAAATATTTATTGAACTCCATGACAGTAGCTAAAGCAAGGGGCTATAGCAACACACAAGTAGAATACAGATGCATGCTGGGCCGGGCAAGCCCTGGGCTATAGCAGCACCCAAGTAGACTACATTTACATTACATCTACATTTTCGTCATTTAGCAGACGCTCTTATCCAGAGCGACTTACAAATTGGTGCATTCACCTTATCATAGCCAGTGGGACAACCACTTCACAATAGTTATATATATATATATATATATTAATTTTTTTTGTGGTGGGGTAGAAGGATTACTTTATCCTATCCCAGGTATTCCTTAAAGAGGTGGGGTTTCAAGTGTCTCCGGAAGGTGGTGAGTGACTACAAATGCATGCTGGGCCGGGCAAGCCCTGAGTTCGTGAAGTGAGCGCTATTGGAGGAAAATTGGAGCGGGCGAGAAGGCCGTCGCTCCAGTCTTTGGGAATCTCGCTCCGCGCTCCAGTCAAATTGGGCACGATCCGCTCCAGCTCCGCTCACATACTCTGACACGGAGGCCCTACACCAAGGCCTGTCAGCCTCTGGCTCCGGCTAAAAGGAGAAGGAGGGAAATCCTGGTAATACTTCTTTTTCAGGAACAGTTGTATGAGTCATACACATCTTCCATTGCTCTATTACAACTCTTAATATCCTATGATGAATGAATGCCTTGGAAGTTTCCTCTCTCTCTCTCTCTCTCTCTCAGCCAGCTGTCAAGGCTGTCTGTCTGGAGCAGGAGGAGAGGAGAAGCAGAGGATGATTCAGACCAGAAGAAAGAAAGAGTGCCCTCTACTGACCGGAACATTCTGAACCCACCCAGCCATGGAGGCTCTTTCCTCATGTGTCCTCACTTCTCTGTCTCTCTCTCTGTCTCTGTCTCTCTCTCTCTCTCTCTCTCTCTCTCTCTGTCTCTGTCTCTGTCTCTCTCTCTCTCTCTCTCTCTCACTCTCTCTCTCTCTCTGTCTCTCTCTCTGTCGCTCTCTCTTTCTCTGTGTCGCTGTCTCTCTCTCTCTATCTCTCTCTCTCTCTGTCTCTCTCTCTCTCTCTCTCTCTCTCTGTATCTCTCTGTGTCTCTGTCTCTCTCTCTCTCTCTCTCTGTCACTCTCTCTTTCTCTGTGTCGCTGTCTCTCTCTCTCTCTCTCTCTCTCTCTGTGTCTGTCTCTCTCAGTGTCTCTCTCTCTCTCTGTCTGTGTCTCTCTGTGTCTGTCTGTCTGTCTGTCTGTCTGTCTGTCTGTCTCTCTCTGTCTCTCTCCCTCTCTCTCTCTCTCTCTGTCTCTCTCTCTCTCTGTCTCTCTCTCTCTCTATGTGTGTGTGTGGGTCTGTGTCTCTGTCTGTGTCTTTCTCTCTCAATTCAATTCAATTCAATTTGCTTTATTGGCATGACGTAACAACGTAGATATTGCCTAAACTTTCTTTGGAGATTTACAATATGAACATAATTGAAATAATAATTGTCAACGGGACAACAGTAACAACAATAATCAAGGGTAAAAATAACCATACATTGAACAATAATAATAACAATGGCATAGAGGACATGGTCTGTCAGACACTGTCCCTCATTTTATGGCAGGCAGCAATGTAGGTATTTCAATTAGAATTAGTTTTTTAATGGCGTAGAATGCCCTGCGTGCTTTCTCTCTCAGTTCATTCACTGCCTCATTAAGGTGTCCAGTTGAGTTTATCTTTAAACCTAAGTAATTGTAGTGTGTTCAGTACTCTATATATTTTGTACCAATTGACAACTTTGGTCTAATTCCCTGAGATCTGGTTCTTCTCTGGAAAATCATTATTGGTTGTATTTTTGGCGTTTACTGCCAGGGCCCAGGTCTCTCTCTCACACATTTTTCTGCAGAGATCCAAGCCTAGCAAAAGTTAGGGACATGTTTAGCCAACAGTTAGACAACAGATTGACAGTGTAATGCCATAGACAAAGGAAGGTGGGTGGACGACTCAGACAGAAGAAAGGTCATCTTCATTCTGCCACCATCTTGACCTTTTTATTTGACTTTCTACAATAGCCCATAATTACTTCTCTTACAGGATGTGCCGTTTCCATCCATCTAAAATAACCCCTCAACCTATTCACCTGCTCACTTGTTGCATCATGAATCTATTTCCATACTGTTGCTGTGTCTGTCTAGACCAGGGCTGTCCAACCCTCTTCCTGGAGATCGAAAGTCCTGTAGGTTTTCAGTCCAACCCTAATTTAGCATATCTGATTCAGCTAGTTAAGGTCTTGTTGAGCAGCTAATAAGTAGAATCAGGTGTGTTAAATTAG